TCTTCCGGATCTTTCGTCACGGACCAGCCGTCATTTCTCACGTTATCACATATCTGCGCGCCAATATCAAAGAGTAAAACGTAAGTCTTAAACAAATCATTCATATCCTCGCAGAGCGAAAGCTTCATCTAACACATTAATATCTCTTACCTCGTAATAAGCCAGAAAACCAGCCGATCTCGTGAACTTGCCGGGTTCTCCGGGTCCAGAGACTTCCGCGTGGAAGCCTAATGGTACAGTAGTGTAGTTTTGTGATATCTCGGACAGAGTGAAGCTTGATCCGTAAGCGGGTATACCCATGACAATCTTGTCGGCCGGTACGCCTTTGTCGAGCCAATATCTCACGGAAAAGTTTGCGTTCATGAATACTGTGTAATCGCTGGGATGATGATAGAGCGGTGCAACATGACCGGTCTCGCGTCCCCAAGCGTTATGATAGTCATATGCCATTACGCCGATCCAGTCTACGTATTGTACTAAGGACGGGATCTCGACATAGGCATTATCGATGATGATCTTGCTCGCTGAGACTGCGATGGATAAGAGGAGTCCTTTAGATCTAAAAGTTTCGTTGAATTTGCGAAGCAGCCGGTAAAAGTTGTAACTATCGCGCTGAGAACCACGATTACAATCAGCCTGTGAGAAAAAAAACACAATTACTTTTTTTCTCAATATTTTCTAAATCAAAATTATACAATGTTTCTCTGAAATTTTTTTAAATATGATAAATATTTTATATTTTACATTGGAATTTTATATTGGAAATATTTTATATTGGAATATTTTATAGTTTATATTGTTATATTGCAGGCGTATATTTTTCGTCTAATCTTATTTTTATGTCTTTTAATTTAGTTTTATGTTTAGTTATTATGTTTATGTTTTAAGTTTTGAGAAATCCGGGAATTTTATAGGCTGGTAAGAATATTAGAGCAACAGTGGTTGGCCATCGGTCGATGGCTCCACTTCAGTTATCTAGTATACTAGCTAAGGAGAGGGATAAAAATCAACAGATATTTATATATTCAATACACAATTGAAAACATATTGAGAATGAGGAAATATATGTTTTGATTTACCTGCCAGCATACTGGAAATTCCCAATCGAGATCCAAACCATCGAAACCGTGCTTTTGAACAAATCGCGCGGCATGTTGCGTAAACTGTTCAACCGTTGACGAATCGGCCAACCTGCTGTACTTGTTGTCCTTGGAGTCGTTCCATCCTCCTAAACCGAGTAATATTTTAACGCCGTATCTTTTTCTAATTTCTGCTGCTTTATTGAGGAACTGTTTGTAAACGTCAGCAGAATCCTCGAGTTTCAGCGTAAATATCGGCGTATTCCTTCTATTTTCCGGCTCCCAAATATTTAGCATAGCGAAGGCGTAGACGATATGCGTGCACAGTTCTCCGTCGATGTCCTCCGGCAAAAATTTGCCAAAACCTGTCCGCCTCGAAGACCAAGAAGTGTAATAGCAAACCACCTTCTTATCGTTCGCATTCTCAACTATTGTCAGTCTTGGCGATACGGTGATCTATGAAATAGAAAAAATAAACTTTACGACTAATCCTTTAAAATTTTATTAAAACTGCCAGTTCTCTCAAATCAAAGATTCGTCGTTCTATTTGTCGTGGTACGTACTTGACGTTGAGCAGTCTGGGCGCATCTAGTATTCTCCGGCCAATCACATCGATTTTCATTCCAGTAGAGTCCAGTTGGACAGGTCTGTTCCGAGATCTTGCCGAAGTTGCACAAGTAATACTTGGTGCAATCGCTCTTGTGCGGTAGGAACAAAAGTCCTCCGCAATCAATCGGCGGTGGCAAACTCGCTTCGATCTCAACAGTATCATCCGTTTCTGATTCTATCGTCGTCGTTGATGTGATTAATGGTGGTGTATACGTTGGTCTCGGCGAAGTTGTAGATTCGTATATCGGACGTTCAGTGATAGTAGTGGACTCGCTGTCAGTCTGTTCAACATCGATTATGATCGCTTCTGTACCTAAATTGGAAGAGATGACATTCAAAAACATAATGTGAAAAAAATTGTAAATATTATTTATAAAACAGTGAAAAATATTAATTATTATTTATAAAAGAAAAATATTGAGTAATATTTATACATATCTTTTTTAAACATTATAATTTTGTATAATAATTTCATCTAAATTTTCCCTGTATATACAATTATAAGTTGGTCTATTTTTTTAAAATAATGTTAAAAAATTTACCTTTTGTGATAGGGCACAGCGGGCCCTCCGGATAGTTTCTTAATACTCGATTCATCGTTCTCAATAGCGGACTAGGTTCGCAGCCGCATCTGTTTTTAAAATCGTCCAAGTCTAAAGCCCAAATCATCCCGCCCCCGAGACCAAGCTTCTTAATTAATTCTGCCTTTAGTTTAATTTGATGAGCGTCGTCGAAGCTCACCCATTGGTCACCCTTGTATGCGTAAGGGCCGATCCTTCTCTCTTTGTCTTGAACAACTGTCCATCCTTTTTCTAATGTTCTTTCGCATATCTATTATAATTAACAAAAGAATAGATATATATTTTCATTTTGTTGGCGGGATAAAAAGATCTTCTATAAAATTGATATTTTCTTATATGTAATTATTTGAAATTTATTTCGATATACTTTTATTTAACTTTTGTTTTATATTTTTATGGAAAAATGACCTCGTAATATGACAAGAAGCCTCTTGCTCTGGTCGCCTCTCCAGCCTCACCACCACCGTAGGTTGGCGCGTTTAATCCGTGCACATTTCTTTCCGCTAATGAAAACGATTGCCCGTATAACGGAGCGCCCATGACTAACTTTTGCGGGTTCGCACCTTTCTCTATCCAATAATGGATTGAAAAATTCTAGTGACAAGAAAACGAAGAATTCTGAATAATTATTTATAATTCTTATAATCGTTAATTCTTCGGATAAGGCTTACGGCATTAAATGTCGGTTCCCAGTCGTTCGGAAGATGATACAAGGGTGCCACGTGACCGGTCTTCTTGTCCCATTGTCCATGAAAATCGTAGGTCATCACAGATATCCAGTCTAAATATTTTGACAGAACGGGAACATTATATCCCGCGTCGATTACCCTTTTGCTCGGTGAGACGGCCGCGGAGAGAAGCAACCCCCTCGGTTTAAACTCGTCGCTCAGTTCTTTCACCAGTTGGCTGAAACCTTCCTTATCAGACTCTGGACCTTTCTTGCAGTCCACTTGCCAGCACACCGGATACTCCCAATCGAGATCGAGGCCTTCGAAACCGTATTTTTCGATAAAGTGCAAAGCTTGCGTAACGAACTTCTGCCTAGCAGTAGGTGAGTTTACAAGTCTGCTGTATTTATCGCCAGCCGAGTCGTTCCAACCGCCCAGCGCCATCAGCACCTTCAGACCCTTCGACTTCAATGCTGCCACCTTTTCGTAAAATTTATTATCTATGTCGGCCCAAGGATCGTGGGACTTGATCGTCAAGCTGCTACCATCGAGGACGGCGAATCCGTAAAGCACGTGGGTGCAAAGATCAGGATCTATGTCTTCTGGAACGAATCTGCCGCCCTCCTGCCGATACCAGGCCCAGTTGCAAAAGTAGCAAATGACTTTAAACTCATTTCTGGAAGTGTTATGCATAAAGCGATCCACTGACATAGTTGGCCGTATCATTTGCGTGGGTTTGATGGTAACTGATGTCGTCATCGTCGTTGTTGTTGGCTTTTGATTTTCGGGCCACACATAATGGCTCCGTGGTTCCGCTAATACTTGTTGGATCACATGCATCAGCGGATGAGGTCCGTTGCCGCATCGTCCGCGGAAATCGTCCAAATCTAGGGCCCACACCATACCACCGCCCAGACCCATGTCGCGCACGAACTCGGCTTTTCGCCGAATCATTTCCGGGTCATCGAAACTGACCCACTGGCTGCCCTTATAGGCGTACGGACCCATTCTGTACTCTGGATCCTGCACAATCGTCCAGCCACGGTTGCGTACGCGATCGCAGATCTCGTAATAGGATAGAAAACCGGCGGCTCTAGTAAATTCACCGGCATTTCCGGCGCTAGCCGGGGAATTCAGTCCAGTTCCCGCTCTCGGATCGTTAATTGTGAAGGACTGCCCGTACAATGGCATGCCCATGACGATACTCTTGGGTGATGCGCCCTTCGAAATCCAATAATTGATCGAATAGTTAAGGTTAAAGTAAGAGTAGTCGTCGTCCGGATGATAATACATAGGCGCCACGTGACCAGTTTTTTTATCCCACTGTCCATGATAGTCATATGCCATGACGGCGATCCAATCTAGATACATGGCCAACGCCGGTACGTCGTAGCCTTTGTCGATTACCTTCTTGCTCGGCGAGACTGCTGCCGAAAGCAACAGTCCCTTTGGTTTGAACTTTGCGCTCAATTCCTGTAATAGGGTCGCAAACCTTTCCTTGTCCGAATCTGGGCCCTTCTTGCAGTCTACCTGTACCAGCATTGAAAGAATTAATAAAGAATCATATAAAAGACGATTGTAAATCTATAATTCACATATATTATATATATATAAAAGATATCTAAAATTTATAAAACTTTATAAAATTTCGAAAAATACAATTAGATTGCATAATTATATTTAAATTTCACATTTAAGTCTCTCTTATACATTATTCAAAATTGATCAAATATTTCCGAAGTGATATAGTTAAAAGGAAAAGAACAAAGAACAAAAATAAAACGAAAATTCGAGAGCTGCATATATTATTAAAATAAATAAAAATGAATTTACCTGCCAGCAAACCGGATACTCCCAATCCAAATCTAATCCGTCAAAGCCGTATTTCTCGATGAATTGAATAGCGTGATCGATAAACTTGTTCCTGGCAGACGAACTGTGCACCAATCGACTGTACTTATCACCAGCCGAATCATTCCAGCCGCCTAACGCGAGAAGTACTTTAAGGCCCCGTTTTTTGTATGCCACTACCCGCTCGTAGAAACGATTATCGTAATCTGCCCAGGAGTCGTGTGCTTTGATCACCAGTTCGGAATAATCCAGCACCGCGAATCCGTACACGATATGTGTGCATAAAGTGTGATCAATGTGTTCCGGAAGGTAACGACCGATCCCACGACGGTACCATGCCCAATTGGTAAAATAACATACCACCTTGAAGTCGCCAGACAGTGGGGACACCTTGTCAGGATCTATAGTCGCGGAAGGCAAAGTTGATGTAGATTGACTCGTAGTTGATGTAGGTTGACTCGTGGTTGACGTAACGGGTGCTTGTTCCGTAGTCGGTTGCGTGATCGGTTTTTGCGAAACCGGTGGTTGAGCTGGTAAATCCGTCGTCGATATTGCTACTTGCGTGGTGGCTTCTTTGTTATCGTCTATACATTTGGCCCGGGTCGGCCAGTCACAAATACGGGTCTCTTTATTGAAGTGCAAGCCCGGCGCGCAGCTAAACACTTCCTGACGACCCCAAAGACACGCCTGGTAGCTCTTACAGTCACCCGGTACGCTACTATAGCTGCCAGAGATGCAGGTCTAAAGTAATTGCAATAATAATGTCGCGATATCAATATCAATTATCTCGGACTTTCATGCGATAAATAAAGATCGCAGAGATGAAATGATGAATGAACCGGATGTACCAAGAAAAAGACATGATAGACTCGAAACGTTTGTATTAACATCTGAATGATTATTGATATTTAGCTAGCATTTATATAAGTACTTTTTTATTTAGCTCATTAATATATAATATTATAATATTTACTTACAGTAGGGACGCTATCCTTTCCCACAAGCAGAGCGTTTTTATGAGGTGGGGCCTCGACGCATGGATTTTTGAAGGCCCAATCGCACATGTTCTTCTCAGTATTCCAATTTAAGCCAGGGCCGCACTGCCGTGAGACGAGATCGCCGTTTACGCAGACTAGAAAACTTGTGCACGAATTCGGATAAGGGTAATATTGTCCGTGTTGGCATGGTTTTAACGGTTTTTGCGTCGATGTCACGATAACAATAGGTTTCGATGTGGTGAATCTTGTAGTCGTCTTCGGCGCCGTCGTCGTTGTCGTCGACGTGGTTGTAACAATGGTTGTGATAGATGGTCTTCTGGTTGAACTCAACAATGGACGTCGACTTGTCGTCGAGGTATATGCATGTGTCGAATCTGAGAAGAAGATATAAAAATTCGTGAGAAGAATTGCATGTCATATATTATAATCGTAATATAATCAATCAAGCGTTAATCGATTAAATCGGCACCTTGATGAGAGATTTTATATACTCTTTGCGCGATGCAGTTTAAAAAGAAGAGAATCAATATTATATAAATACGTTGAAATAGGAAAGCCATGGTTTTCACGGATGATAGCGACGAACAAAGCGCTAGCAAGCAAGTCAGCGCTGTTTATACCCTTATCGATGCATCGGGCATCTTCGCTTCTCTTCAGCAGATAGTAAAGAGGGAGGATATGCAAGAGTGCCTCCTTGGCCGGAGGCGACAGCTAGAAGATACGCATACGCAAAGATATTTGCATGCTCATGATTTGCAAACAGGTTTGCGTTTATATCTGTCCATATGCTCGCTTATTGAATTACCGAAAGAGGAGGGAGTTAGTGTACCTTATTTATAAAAAATATAAAAAATGTATATGTATGTTATCACGACAATAATTTTTCCATTAATATCATCAATCTGCAAATGTGACCATCTTTCTCATCGTTATGTGTGATCTTGCACCAAAATGCCAATCATCACGCTGGTTATTACTCGCATCGTTGTCTGGCTAAGTTATTTCAAGCCGCTAACTATGTAAAAAGCGCTTTTTTCGCGACAGAGGGAAACAAATAAAAAGAGAGATAATTAAAAACAGAAAGAGAGAAAAAGAACATGAAATTAAATAAATAACCATATGTATAACAATGAATAGTAATGTAGAAATATGCAATGCGAAAGAAAATAATTTAATACAAGAAGTTAATATAAAGAGAATTTTTAATATAAGAAATAATGTATAATATAGAAATATAATAACATAATATCAATCGTAATAAAAAATGACTATTTTGATACGAACCTAACGCACGATTAATAGCTTTCAATAGAGGATACGATTCCGAGCAGCAACGGTTTTGAAAATCATCTAGGTCGACGGTCCACATTGTAGCTCCACCGTAGCCATTAACCGTTATATATTTACCTTTAGCGTAGACACTCTCTCGATTTTCGTAACCTACCCATTGATCCTCGAACTGAGCACTTGGTCCTGAAGGTTTAATAACCATATAGCGTATAATATATTTATGGATTACTGAGCTCAGGTTACACGGCACTCTTAATCGGGTTTGATAACGTCCGTAGTTGTAAAACTGGCCAATCACAGCTGTTCGTCTGAAGAATGGAATGACTGTGATTGGCCAGTCTTAAAACTACGGATGCTATTAAATCCGATTAGGAGTAACTTGTAAACGTAATTACTGATTCTCTATATTTGTTTGTGTGTGATTTTAATATAATATAATATTTAAAATAAAAATATATATTGTACACAGACGCGCGAGTACTCACCGAGTTCTGTTTTCCAACCATGCCGCTTGATTCTGTCGCAAATCTCATAATAAGCCAACATTCCAGGTTGTTTGGTGAACTCTCCCGGCTTACCGGGACCTGTCGTGGGGTCACCCAGACCAGCTTGGTTCGCCGTAGAAAGTCGATAAGATTGACCGTATAATGGAATACCGACTAAAAGCTTAGATTTTTCAGCACCGAGGCTAACAAGGTAGCTCATGGTAAAATTCTGTAATATTTTCGAATGTATTATATTCAGCGATTTACAATGTGCACTTTTGCACGGATAAAATTCATACTTACGACGTTATAATAAGGGTTGCTATCGCCAGGTGAGCCGAACAAGGGTGCTATGTGTCCCGATTTAGATTCCCAGGCGCCGTGGTAATCATACGTCATAACCGACATGAAGTCGACGGCTCGCGAGATCTCGCGCATCTCGTACGCTTTATCGATGACCTCCTTATATCCCGATAAAGCGACGGCTAAGTGAAGAGGTGGTTCCTGTTTGTCAAATTCCTCTCTCAGTTCTTGTATCAGTTTAGTAAAGTTGGGCTTGTCGGAGTCCGGACCCTTTTTGCAATCGCTCTGCCAACATTTGGGGTAACTCCACTCGAACGATAGTCCATCGAAGTTGTGCTTCTTCAAGTAGTTTGCTGTGGCCGCGACGAACTTACGGCGAGCGGCACCGCTGCTGATTAATCGAGAGTATTTATCGCCAGAACTGTCTGTCCATCCGCCCAGAGCTAATAATATTCTCGATCCTTTGATAGAAGTCACTCGTTGATATAGATCTGGAATGAATTATTCAGATGATTATTCGATTGCGTGTCTTTATTGAAATATTCCAAGCAGGAGAAGATGTTTGAAGTGATTCCATAAATTGTAAAATTCACTTGAAATAAAAAGTTGCATCTAAAGTGAATCTCACAAATTGATGATCTTAATTTATATCTTGGATCAGACAAATCACTCACTGTTTTCGATGTCGGCCCAAGGATCGAACGATTGCATTAGCAAGGTCTCAGGATTCAATCCGGCGAAAGCATAGACGATGTCGGTGCAGAGCTGCGAATCTAAATGTTCCGGCACGAATTTGCCATCTTCCTTACGGTACAATGCCCAGGAAGTTACATAACACACCACTCTCGGTCCTTTCTGCTGTAGCAGTAACATTTTTCTCTGCTCCGACGATACTCCTAATAAAGAATTTTGATCGATGATTCGATCGAAAACGTTGTGCGCGCGCTTGCAGCTGTTTTTTCCGTACATTTCCGGAGGTCTCTCCGGGATAATTGTTAAACAACGTTCCTCGAGCAAGTCGAAGTACCGGTTGTAGCCGCAATGACCATGATGCAGCCGCCCTAGAAAAAAAAAGAAATTAGCAGTAAGTGTAAGTTTCTTGATTTCTAATGACATAAATCAACTTTAACGATTTTGAATTAACACAGGAAGCATTACCTTTGATGCAAGAGTAAAATCTGGAACAATCTTCTGGATCCACTCCGAAGAGATAATATTCAAATGAACACTTTTCCGCCAGCATATCCTTATAGTATCCTAAGGATTGTACAGCCGTGTTTAGCATCGGCCAAGGATTCCCGCAAATACCCTGCGAAATTAATTTATAATATCTATGTATATTAAATAAAATCGGTACATTTCGAAGTAACATGAATATAAAATATCAAATTATTGATTCATTACTATAAAAGTCTATCAAGTTGTGCGATAAAGATACATTTACATCGACGTGTTACATTGTAAAACATATGTATACATTATCATATCCATATATGTATACATTATCATATCCTGATCTAACACATAAATCACAAGATTGCTACTTATCTTTAAGCGTATCGCATTAAGAAAATACCACGCGTCTCGTACAAGCGAAAGATAAATCACGTATCTTATATTGAGTAATAATCGCATCATTAACGAATATAATTCACTCAATAGTAGGTCTAAAGCAGCGAAGAGAAATCAAAAAACGAAACGTATAAAGTGACATATGCTGTTACTCAATCGCCACGCTTTTATAAATCCTATAAACGGTACTAAATAATTAATAGTAAAAAATGTAACAAAGAACTAATACTATAATTAGTAGTAAAATAAATAAAATATAATTAATAGTAAAATATGAAAGAGTAGCCTTATATTATAAAGTGATATCATTAAAAAATTATT